AAGGGCTCATGAGGGAGGGGGAACGGGGAAGGAGGGGAAAAATGAGGATCTGATGCCGGGGGCTTAAGTGGAGAGTAAATGTTTTAAGAATGACAAGGACAATGAATGTACAAATGTGCTTTACACAATTGATGTATGTATGGATTGTAATGAGTCATATGAGCCCCTAATAAAACAATTAAAACAAAAAGAATACATATACGTAAACTTTATTTTTTGGTTTATAGAAATATTTGAAAGAAAAAAACAGAAATATTAGGTAAATAATATACTGGATCCCCATGGACCCCATCTCCCTACCGTACAGTTTCACTTATTAATAACTGAATGAATGTGATACTTTTTTATAACTGATGAACCATGTTCATAAATCATTTAATTTATTGCTTACCTTAATTAAGGTTTACTCTTTATGTTGAACACTCCTATGGGTTTTGATAAATGTATGAGGGCGTTAACACCCAAAAAAACCTGGAAAAGGTTCTGCTGGTGGAGCTTTCGTAGTACTCTTTTTCCCGTTATGCGATCCTCAAGTAACTCGCTCTGAGTTAGTGCACTCAGTGACGTCACCTGGGAAGGTTCTCTCTGGTCACAGTGAACTTTCTTGTAAAAGCAGATTGGCTAGAGCCTGGCTTTTGTGATGACCGATTTAAGAGAAAAGCATGCAGCTGTGAAATTTTGTTTCCTATTCAGGAAAAATGCCAAAGAAACTGTCGTGATGTTGAACACAGCTTACAAGGACAGCACCATGGGAAAAACCTCAAGTGTATGAGTGCTTTTTCCTTTTCAAACAAGGTGAAATGTGTATTGATGACAAACCTCATGCTGGATGTCCGTCAACTTCCCAAATGGCCGAAAATGTCGACTTGTAGTGCATTTGGTGTTCATTCCACTAGGTCAGACTATTAATCAAGCTTTGTATTTAGAAGTTCTGAAAAGATAGCTAACAGTGTGCGACCAAAAAGGCCTGATTGGGGCAGATGGGGGACTGATTTTGCTACCACAACAATGCACCCATTTATACGGCCGTCTCAGTGTGCAAGTTTTTGCCAAAAAAACCAACATGTCTCTCTTGCCCCACACACCTTACTCACCTGACCTTGCTCTGTACGGTTTTTTTGTTTCTGCAAATGAAGAGGGATGTGAATGGACAGTGATTTGATGATGTACAAGAGATGAAGGGAAAAACTGAGGGCGGTACTGTCAGCCATCCAAACAGATGAGTTTGAAAAATGTTTCCAAAAATGGAATGGCAGATTTGACAAATACGTTAAGTGTAATGGAGAGTACTTTGAAGGTGATAAGGTTGTTTTGTAAAAAAAAAATCATATAGCTTTGAGCAAAAATCCAATTTTTTAAAAATAAAAATCCAGTTGTATATCAAGCATCCACCATTACTACATCACACACAATAGTTTCATTTTCTTAAAAATGCGCTGTTCCATCTTTTCATCCCTTCTCACCTCCCTGAGTCCCTAGCAATCACTGATCTCTTAGCAGTCTTTCTTTTCCCAGAATGTCATGTAGTTGGAATCATACAGTAGTTTTTAGAAATATATTTTAAGTCACTACCAACCCAGAGTACATTAAGTACTCAGAAATTGTTGTTTTTTTTGTTTTTAATCTTTATTTTTTAAATCATTTTATTAGGGGCTCATACAACTCTTATCACAATCCATACATTCATCAGTTGTGTAAAGCACATTTGTACATTCATTGCCCTCATCATTCTCAAAACATTTGCTCTCCACTTAAGCCCCTGGCATCAGCTCATTTTT